TTTTGCTTATTCCTTCCTTGAAACAGGTGCACAGACAGATAATGTCATAGATAAATTTGGCAACATTTGGCTGATATTTAACTTTTAGGATTATGTGTGTTTTATCAACATTTATCCAAATTTTTTTTCTTGTGCATGTGAAATGCAATGTGGAAAGTCTTGAACCTGCTTTAAAACTTTCTCACCTAAAGAGAGGATGCAGAACGAGTAGCAGTTAAATTATCTTGTTGTTCATAGATAGTTTAGATATAGAGGAAATTTATGTGAGAAACAGAAGAATAAAGATAGGTAGAGGAAATTAGAAATCAAAGTCAAGAAATATAGGAAGAAATGGACTAAAGGCAAGTTAGACAAAGTAATAATCATGAGAACAAATACAAAGAAAGATAATAGCGAATAAAACTCTAAAAGTTTAGTGCTAGCTGCTAATCTTTGTACAGACATCACCTACAACTAATATGGAAAACTATAGAAAAGGTATTTAAATTCAGAAGATTCTAAATGACTTAAAGTTTTACAAAGAGGGATTGAAAGAAAAAAATATACAATCAAGGAGAATAATATCCTCCTCAAAACAATCATAAATAAAGAAATGCAAACAAATGATACTCTTAGCTGCTATATATAAAAGCTTCCCAATTTCGATGGAGGTCATTGATTCTAGTGTTAGAGTCGCATCCATGTGCTTAACACATAATGTAGCCACAAAAGTGGTCCTATCCCACAGCTCTTGGAAAATCTGACAATTACTTGCGAGCTAAATGCTCTATAAATCAGGCAAAAGTGCCCTTCTGCAAAGGGGTTTATCATCAACATCCAGACCCTCCCCCTTTAGATAAAAGTTTGAAGCTCTCCACCATTGGAGGAGTCTCCCAATACATACCAAAAACTTTTGCCAATTTCAGGCAGAACCTCCGAGATTTATGACAGTGTGAGAACAGGTGCGAGTGGAGTTGTTTCTTCCCCTGAAAAGCACATCACACATATCTAGAGAGAGACGCAGTGGGGTTGGCGGACTTTGAGCATCTCGTTCGTGTTAAGCTTCCGATGGATGGTAGTCTAAGTGAAAACCTTAACTTTTGAAGGAGCAAGAATTTTCCAAAACATATGGCCTAGTAAAGTGGGTCATTGTTTGGTTTCGAAATTAGGTGTTCAAAGAAAGATTTACATGTGTATATGGCTGAAGGTTCCAAGGTCAATGTCGTAGTGTCAGATTAGGTATTTAATTTAATGGGTACCAATAGGTTCAAAAAGTCTGTCAAGGTCAAGGGCTTTGTTGGTAGCTACTAGCCCTTTTGTAGATATTAATTACAACTAATATGAAAAAGAGATTCTAATTTCTATAATACTTACCTACTTAAATAGGGACTAAAATATTACAATGGCTGAGTACTAAATAATTTCCACATGCTAAATGATAATAATAATTAATTATTAAGTAATGATTTTTGCAAATAGTAATTATCTTACTCTAAGAAAATAATTTGTTACAAAAAATTTCTTTATTGAAAGTTTGTTCCAAAATAATATCTTATTCTGCATCAAGAGGTCATGCAAAATTAATGGAAAAAGAAAGCATTCAGTTACAAAGGACGTTTTTACGAAATAGCCCAAACGCTTTCTGTTAATCTCCATCAGATTTAAAGTTAATTGGACAGAAATACAAGATTCATTTTCATATCCATGGCTCACCGTTAGTACAAGATTGCTACAGTCAAGGATTTTCTCTGTTCCCTCTTCCTCCTTACAGTTGTTAGTCTTGTTAGAGAGTAGCGATTTAATTTATAGTCAAACAAATGCACTGTTTATTCTTGAGGTTGAGTAGAAATAAGAACAAATAGCATAGCAATGAAGTGTTTGAGAAAAAAGTACAAATGGAACCATTGTGGACAACAGAGGTGCCTAGACATGCGTCTGCATGTGTGTGTTTGTCATGCCAGTGTTATGTACTTCTGCCAGTGCCTTCAGGCATAAATTATGTCCTTAATACCAGGCCATTTTAATTTTTTATTTGTTTTTACTTAAACATAATTACTATTATATATAGGCTGTTGCTGGCGATTCAGAAGGATCAGTTGTGCAAGCTGTTACTGGGTCACTTATAAATATGGAGCGTGTAAAGCCTGGATCATGTGAAGCTTTCATTGTTAAGTTGCTCGAGCAATTGGCGAGGTTCAAACCTTGTTTTAATAAACAGGCTGCTTATATTTTTTTATGTTTCTTTCCTGGATGATTACCTGATGAAAACAAGAAAATCTGTGCAGGTCCAAGGAATCTTCAGTGAGAGACATACAGGAGCTGGCAGCTCGCAACTTTGCTAAGGGCAAGGCTCTGCTTGAGGAAACAAGAAATGCAAACGTAGAAGTTAATACTAGGAAAAAGCAACAGAACAAGGACTTCCTTTCTAACGCCAACTTGAGCCCGCTCGCAAGATTTTTACTCTCAAGGTTTGCCAATGAACATTTCTGAGTGTGCATAATTTTGATGATATAAATCGGAAAATATCATTGTAGCGAAAATGGTCTATGTATCGAGCTTTAATGAGAACATTTCTTCTTTTGTTTGATACAGATGGCAAGGTCAAGTATCGCGGGATCTTAACCCAGCTTAAGAAAAGATTTCAGAATGGCCGCTGTATTGGCAGTATTTATCACTGATATGCATTGATTCTGATTTGGTTGTACATAACATTGTAAGAAATTGTGTATTCATATTCCATTACCCTAGTTTTCCTATCTTGCCATTTTTGTTCTGCAGTGGCAGCATTAGTTGTGTAATTAGGGATTTGCTATTGTTGTTGTTATTATTATGATTATTATTATTACAGTATCGATGTAAACTTACCAACCATCAATTCCATTATCAATAATCATCTTTTGGCATGATTTTTTGTGGTTTATTATTAAAATCCTATGATAATAACCAATTACCTGGAAGTCAGAAATTCTTAATGTCCCTATTTCTTAACTGGTTGTAAAAGGCTATTATTAGTAGGTGAATTCGTGACTGTAAAATCGAGGAATCTTGGGCTATTCGGTAACTCACATTCGATTCAACTGTTCAAAACATCTGTCTTTTCCCCTGCACCTCAGTGGCATTTTACCGGTGTCATTCACAAGCATGTCCTCTCTTGCATCCCCTGTCAAGGTTACAGGTTATGGCATTAACAGGCACAAGTTTTATTAGATTATATAAAATTGAATTCGATGTAAATACACATCGACTTATTCAAACTCAATTCGCCACTAATTTCCTCTGCCAAACACAAGTACCTTCGAGCCTTGACTTAACCAGGGAGAGACATGTTTCAACATGTCGCTTCAGATCTATTGGCCAAAAGTTTAATTAAAACTAACTCTAATTCGACAGCATCTTCTGTACACATATATGCAAGAGGGTAAGAAAGAATTCTGAGGGAAGTCCTTAATCTGAGTATTGTTGTGACAGAAACTACTAACACCTATGGCCATAAAAGCAAATGCTTCGATCTTCTATTTCTATCTCTTTCGAGAAGGTTTCTTTGCAGGAGTCAGCTTCCGGAATGCAGCATGCAGAACCATCACTGAACAGGATACAGAAATTATCAGCTCATTTCACACAAAGAAACACTAGAAATGAAAATAAAAGTAGAATATACGCTGGATACCCCGTAAAAGTGTCACAGAAAGAATCCACAAAAATGAAAGCAAATGAGAATGTGTGCTAGTACCTGTGTAACTGACACCAAGTGTAGCAAAGAGAGCAAGCTGGAAGTTCACACATATGAGAATAATCGCCGTAACTGCAAAATATGAAATGCAGTTATAGGTTGATCAGGAATACATTTTCTATTACCTATCAGTTCAATTCCTATAAGCCTAAAGCGAAGTTCCAGCTTACCTTAAGAAGTTCTTGATCAATTTAAATTGATCTTCGCTACTTCAGAATCTTCAAATCCAATTAAAAGATAACGAGGTCCTTAAAAACCTACCACAGCCTCCAATTTAACGGCTTAGGCTGCATAATATCTTTGGCCATTGAATGCCATATAAAGATAAGTTTCTTGACAAGGAACTTCCTTGCATGTTTAGGTTCTCAATATCTCACTATGGCAACTAACCCCATTTCGTTCACGTGTCAGTGGCTTTAGGGTATCTCTCGGAACTCTATAATGGTCAACAACCTTGTTGGACAGAGCAACAACAAGCCGAATACAGAAATATCCAGTAAAAAGAAACAATATTGGTCCAAAATTTTTTCAAAAACACCTTTTTATAAACACGAAAGCGTCATGCTGAAAAAGGATAGGTCAAGAAAACCAATTTCAATAGTCTGTATCAATTTATAGGAAAGGGTCCCCAGCAAAATTTTGCATTTCTTCTCCAGGACTGATTAAACCAACTAATCTTAAAATAGGTAGTCCTTCTCTTTTCTCCAACTAATTTTATGCTAATTATTCTCTTTTCTCTGCGTCAAGTCCTCTTATTAGCTACGTAAATCCTTACTGCTAAATCTCTCTCTCCAGAAACTAAAATCAATTATGCCGACCTAACTCCCCTTTCTCCCCTTTTTCAGATTTTGTTTCCAATGATCAGAAATCATTGCCATAAGCTGGTTATCTTTCATTTCTAACGAACCATTACCATAAGCCGATTATCATTCATTTATAACAAAGTTCAAATGAACTGAAATCCTAAAATCCGTAATCGTTTGTTTTCCTTTCAAGTTTTTTCCTTTGCAGTCATCTGTTACTTCTAAAATCTATGACAGTGAGAATCTGAGGATCCAAAACACTTTATGTGCTATATCACAAGCAATTACTTACGTAGCACATATGATTCAGGCTAAAGACGCCTCTTTAACGGATTTAAGAAAGCCCCAAAACAATATATTTGTAGCAATAATAATTTTGGTTTAGTTCTGTAGTAATCATTATTTTCTTTGTATTGCAACTAGACTACAACAAGATCAACAATTAGTACCAAAATTTGATTGAAAACTCACCACATTGAGCAGTGCGAATCAAGACCTGCCGAAGCACTGGGTACTGATCTAATCCCCATTTATCACTCCATAACTTGAAAAGGTCCCAAAGAACCAAACTTCCTATCAATCCAACGAGAGAAAGTGGCATCTGATACCTGTAAATACAGTAACAAAAAGAGAAGATCATGAAACAAACAAAAGAAGAAAACTCTCATTTGACAAATAATTTTTTTTTTCTTAGAAATTGTATAACGAAAGCTATGGATATATGTATTAACAATACCAAATCACAATAAATTTCGGCAACACACCTAAACATAATAACAGAAGGAATTATAAGAAAAGCAAAGAAACAACAAGAAACTTAAAAATCAGATTTTGATGGTCCCAAATTTCAAGACTTCAACTTGCACAGCAACCAGACGAAATCACTGAAAGAAACTAAACAATTTAACAGTAACCTCAAACTCAGTTGAAGATGTATGAGAGAGAGAGAGAGAGAGAGAGAGAGAGAGAGAGTTAATACAGAGTGCAGGCAAAGAAGAGAAGAGAGAGAGTGGCGTAGTTCCTCGCAAATCGCTTGACATTCTCGTGGACTCGCATTCTAGCCTGTGAAGCCGAGGATGGAAACGAGTACGAATTGGACGAGCCGAAGAAGCCGAGAGTCCAAGAGGCAGTTTCGCCGGAGAAATCATCGGTGGTGAGCTTAGCAAAGGGATTAATAGTGAAGAGCGAGCAGAAAGTGACCAAATACGAGAAGAGAGAGGCAACGAAGCCGTTTGTAAGTGAAGGAGGAGAATTAGTTTCACCGCCGGCTGTTGTCGCTGCGGCAGCTGCAGCGGTGGTCCTGTCGTCGAGTACCTCGAGGTGGCCGGAGTCCCGGAGCCATGATTCGAACTCTGAGTCCGGCACGCTTAAAGACAATGGGTTCGATGAGAACACCATTGCGCCTTAGCTCCTGCAATTCGGTAACCACTATATATATTTTACAAAAGGAAAGTGTAATAAAAGATTTTTCTTCTCCTCTGTATATATATATATATATATATATATATATAATATTGGCACAAGTCATTTATAAAGACATACATATATATATATATATATTTATAGCAAATTACTAAATATATTATTAATATTTAGCAATAAAAAGGCAAGAAATTTAATCAACTATATGGGTATAAAGAGATGCTCCATCTTCATCTACAGAGAAAAATGTCAGCTGCTCATTTTCTCAAACACCTTCCCTGCTACAATTTTTCCCGCCGTTTCCTCCTTCGCCACTGGCCTTCTTCAACTCCATTAACTTTGCTCTCTGCCTCTTCTATCACATTCACAACCTGCACAACACCATTACGCCCTTCTTCTTCTTCTTCTTCTTCCTCTTCTTTTTCTTCTTACAGTGCAAGGAGGCAGCCGTTTACATCTCCATATCTCTCAGTTCGCGTCCACTGTCCAAAACATGTGGCGGTAAGACACGCAGACTCTTTCTCTCTATGCAGTTATTTCCATCTGGGTTGTTACCTTGTTAGACAATGATGGGTTGTCGTGTACTAGTAATGGATGGACTAATGTTTCGTAGCTGTCTTTTGCATTAATTGACTCTCTATCCCAAAGCTTGAACTCTCAAAATGGTGATTTTTTGTTTTCATGTTATCAGGATACACTTTCAGAAGCACTGCTATGCTTTGGTGCTTCTTCGGTCAGTATAGAATCTTTGGATGAAGAAGAAGACACTTCTGAGGATCCTGATGAGGTTTCTCTAAATTTTTCCTTGCTTAATGTAAATAATGTATACAGCTGTCAGAAGATAAATCTATGAAGCTAGTGTCATCTTCTTATTCTGAATTGATCATAATAACCTTGCTTACATGGAGATCATCTTGGGCCTGTGATGAAATTTACAATTTTCCCTGTTGTAATGTTGTGATGAATATGTAATTATGATCATATACAGTGCCTCCTCCTACTGTTTCATCTTGTGTTGGCCGAGTTGATAAATATAAGTAGGAGGTGGAGTGAAAGTGGAGAGTTTTGAAATTCTCCTCTTTATCTTTGGCACAGATATGCATTGATTCTATATTTCCCGTCAGCCAAGAGGTGAGCGTCTGCATTTCACAGGCTGCTGATTCCATAGGCTTGAAAGAGATACCCAGATATGAAGTTCAAATGGTTGAGCAATATAACTGGCTACAGAAAACTCAGGTAGATCTTTCTATAACAGGAATGGCTTTCTTCTTTCTTTTTCTTTCACGTTTCTATTTTTTTTTTTTTCTTTTCTGTTACAAGACAGGCATGGGAAATTACTGGCGGGAAGAAGAATAATGAAAGCTTATATTTTCTAAGAGTTTTATCGCAAATATATATATATCCCAGAGAGAAACTCATTATTTCCATTCCTCTTACAGTTTCAGCAGTTCAATGCTTGTTCAGATGTTTATAATCTCTGTTCATAACTTTTATAACCTTTCACCTGAAGGGCTTATCCTCACTTTTATTCCTAAATGCACTATGGGATCCATTTAATTAAGCTGTCTAATGTTTCATGGTTTTAAATATCTGTGCATTTGTAGCTGGTGAATTATGAATCTGTCCTAACAGGATCTAGAATGTTGACTGTATTGATACTCTAATCCTTTACAGATAATTAATCTTTTCGTTTATTTCAGGAATCATTTGAACCAGTTGAAGTTGCAGAAAGGCTTTGGATTGTGCCTGAGTGGAGGAATCCTCCCGTATGGTTATCTCCAAGACTCCCAACTATTTTCTTCTTGAAGATAATTTTTCAGACATTGTTCAGCTTTATGTGTGCAGCAATCTTCTTTGTCACTTCAGTGGAAATTGGAGTCTTATGAGCTTCATCTCGTAGATGAATAAAAATTTACAAGATTAATTGGAGATTGTATTTTTCCTTCCTAAGTAGACCTGTAAAATATGTGCATTACCTTATGCACCAATAAATTAATTTTCTAAAAAAATAATCTGCCTGTTCCTTATGCTGCATGATTTTATCTCAGATTTTCAGCTTATAAAGAAGACTGAATTTTACAGTGTGGTAGGCATAGGAAATAAACTTGATTTTGCCTCTTGCGTGTACAGAATGTTCAAGCAACTAACATCATTCTAAATCCTGGATTGGCATTTGGAACTGGAGAACACCCTACTACAAAGTTGTGTCTGTTACTACTACAAGGCTTGCTAAAAGGAGGAGAATTTGTCTTGGATTATGGCACAGGTTCTGGAGTACTTGCAATTGCAGCACTTAAGGTAATTTTTTTTTATTATATAATATAGCAGTCCTTCAATGGGATATAGAACTCCGCCATTGGAGTTACTGGTATTGTTTTGAAAGAAAAAGAAACAAGTAGAATCATTCACAAGCACCAAGGAGGTCCTGCTCATTTGTAAAAAATAATTTACAAGAGATGGACAAATCTACGAGGTCTCCATGGTCCTCCCATCAGAAGGGTGGCCTTGCAAAAATTTTGAACTCTCAGTATTTTCCAACCACACGAATTCTTAGCTTTCATCACATAGTGTTAGTTATCTTCTGGTATTTAATTTTAATTTTTTCTTCATATTTGATCGGATTTCTCCTCTTATTGTAAAACATTTGGTAGGGTTGGAGGTTTCTCCTACTATCTCTTAAACAATTGGTGGGTGTACTAAAAAGAGTCAACAAAACTCTTTGAGATGCATTACCCTTTAATGAAAGGTGGAAGTGAAACTTAAGACTAATTAGTAAGTTATTTGCTAGTGACAAGCATTTAGAAGTACAAAGCTAGAATATCTTCACAAGATTGGAATGTAAGTATTGAAGACAAAACTGATGAGTGATTAGCTTTGTCTTGGCTCAAGATCTTTTACCAATTGAGTTGTTGGGGAATGATTTAGAACGTGTAAGGTGTTGCTGTATCCGGGAATTTTCTAAATCATGTAGATTTGGCATCTGTTCTGTTATTTCTTTAAGATGCTGCCTTATCCTCAAATCCTGTTGCGGCTGGTTGGCAGTTTGGTGCTGCACTGTCTGTCGGAATTGACATAGATCCTGAAGCAATCATTTCTGCACGTCATAATGCTGTTCTCAACAATATAGAGCCTGAAAAATTGCAGTTACACCTTGTTCCTACCGAAATCAACCATCCTTCCAATGATGAACAATTGAATGAATTTGGGAAAGAGCTGAGCTCTTTTGGAGGAGAAGTCACGTTTGAAACAGAAAAATATGATGTGGTCATTGCAAATATACTCCTAAATCCTCTTTTGGACCTGGCAGATCATATTGTTTCTTATGCTAAACCCGGCGCGTTTGTTGGCATCTCCGGTATTCTATCCGAGCAGGTATCTTCTTGACTGAGGCAAATTGTTTGATCCATTGATTTCACTTTTGAATTTTCAATGCTGTAGGTTTTCAAGAGCTATTTCTGGTTAGTAATCAAGAAGGAGATAGATTTCTACGAGTTTAAAGAATAAGAAAGAAAATGAACGAGTTTTAATTCAATAACTAAGAAATTTTTTCTTTTTGCTTAACTATCTGAATTAGATTCTTGTTTCGAGATAAAATTTTAAATGTACCAGATCCACGTTAGATAGTGCACCATTAAATTGCCAAGGAAAGTTTTAGTTGCAAAAATAGCTGATTGAAAGAGAAGCTTCCATAGGTTGGAGATATTGCTTTTCTAATTGGCATCTCTTGTTGGGTAGCTCTCAGGCCTTAAAAGGGTGGTTCATTCTCAGTAGTAATAATGGGATAAATTGCATATTTAACTTCAGTAGGTGTTTGTTATCAAGATCTTTAGTATGTTCTTCTCCTTTGTGCAGCTTCCACAGATAATTGATCGATATTCCCAGTTCTTAGATAGAATTTCAGTGACAGAAATCAATAATTGGGCCTGTGTAAATGGCACCAAGAAAGGAAACTCATTCGGAGTTAAGATGGACATGTAGCATCTTTGAAAAGGATTAGCAAAAGCAAAGTGCACATCATAGCAACTTAGTATCTGTGGATGATAACCATTGTCTCCTGCAAACCTAAAATGCAGAAGCAGTTTTTTTTTTCGTGTACAGTCCTGAGTTGTGCCTTCAATGTGGTTTCTCCTCCTGAATTGTTGCTCAGTCCATTGCTCTGGGATTTTTTTTTAAAAAAAAAAAACAAAAACCAATATCTTGTAAATTCTGTATATTGAAATTTTGTAACGGTTAGCTCATTTTCTCATTTATTTTCGTAGTAAATTTATAGTTTTTATATAATAAAATATAAATTATTTGTTCAGAGTTACCTTCAATCCGAATTTGAATTCATTAATTCAACTCTTACTTCTGTAAGTTAGAGATCAAAATCTTACTGTTAAGTTATATTGAATTAATCATTAAAAACAACTAACATATTATAAGAAAGGTCCGATGAAATTTTTGAAGAGTTCGTCCTGAGAATACACAAATATATGATGAATTACGCATTAAAAATAATAAGAGATTGACGAAAACAACAAAATTTCAAAGTGTTTGGCTTAAAAAGAAGAACGTAGGCACAAGTGATATAATCCAACTTCCATAAACACAGTTTGCATTCTCTTCTTTTCTCTCTTCAAAGTTGAACTATTTATTATCATTAATTCATTCTATCATCGATACTCTTAAAAATTTCGATTGAAAAGTGAGATTTTCACTGTTATTCATATAATTAACATATACGATTTAGTAAAAAAATTCATACAAGGAAATTACTCTACTTTAGGAAGGATATTGCATATAAAAAAAAAAAATTGAAAAATTGCTTAAAAGTTTGAAATTCTAAAAACTTAATTCAACCCCCTTATCGGGTTATCATAGAATTTGGACCAGCAAGCCTGAATAAGCTGAATCACCATGACCAGATACTACTATACTGCCTCAGAGATACCATGCAATTATTGGCTTTGCATGAATAATCCCTGCCACGGTCAGGAATAAAATATAAATTTGTATCTTATCCAGACACACTGGGATATGATGGAGTTCACTGCAGTAAACTTGTTGGCCATACAAAAATTTCCAGCACTCGAAAGAAGAAGAAGATATTTGAGAACAGTCCCAAGTAAAATTACTCCAAATCCAGAAAGAAATTAGAGACTTAGAGAATTATTACATAAACTGATAAGCATGGCATCGGCTGGTCATCTATAGAGACCTTCAAGCCGATTCCCAACACATAAGAGACTCGACATAAACTTCTGAAACCTGGCAGATACTTAGATTCTAATGGATGGTTTATCAGCACAATGTTTTGTTTTATATTTGGAACTTCCCAAATATTCTTAATCTTTGGTACAAACAGATTGCATAGCATTATAAATATGCTGAAGACCTTGTGATGATTATGAGTATCGTCAATAAAGTGAGAACCTTTGATCCCAATACAGTAGGTGCTACATCCATACACAAGGCATTCAATTTACTTCTATTTATTTGGAAAAAGAAAAAAATCAAAGAAACATATACTTAAAAGAAGCAGGTTGTCAAAGTAAGATATTATTGAGTTGAATTGCAGAGCAGGAAACAAAAATGTCCAAGACATACCTCTAGTGATTCACAAAAAGGGTAATTTTTTATGACTGATTGACAACAAAAGAGATAAGAATGTTGCCAAACAATTACCTTTCAGTTTTAGCTCTAGCTGCAATATAAAGATCAATGGCAAATTAATTCAAACGGGGTTTCCCCATCTTTCACATGTCCTCGAAATGAAGAATGTGAAACAACCAGTTTCTGCTTCTTCAAAGGTTTTAAATAGACGCCTCCTTGTACCAATGGAATATCAATCATCA